TTTGAAAGAGCCTTGAAGGCTGTGGGGTCCCTGTGGGAGAGAAGTGAACCCGGGGGTTTCCTGGGGTCCTGCAGCAGGTGCGAGGCTCAGGGTCCAGCTGCCTCCCTGCTTGTGGGGTACGGCTGCCACAGCACTGGGCTCGCTTCGGGGTGGGGGGCCACGGTGCCACCGGTCCGCACGTCACACAGCTCCCCGCGTCAGAGTCACCGTCTGTCGCAAACACTAGCCCAGAACTGCCGACTACACTCCCTCTGCCGGGCTTTTCACCCCGTGACTTACTTTGTACTGGAATTCTGTGCCCCTCACCCCTTGATCTACCTCCCCTGTCCCCATTCACCCCTGCTCTGCAGACCAGGTCGCTCTCTGCAGTCAAGTGTGTTTCTTTCTTTGTCTCTTCTTTGGTCTGTTTCCTAAATCACACGTAGGAGTAAAATCTCACGGTATTCATCATTCTCTGTCTGACTTCTTTCACTTAACATCGTAAATACATAAAGAACTTCTACGAGTCGACCCCAGAAAAACAAATGATGTGATTGAAAATGGGCAAAGACCTGACCAGACGTGTTTCCAAGAAGACCTACAGATGGCCGGCACACACGGAAGGACGCTCCAATGCTGGCGAGGACGCGGAGGAGGGGGAGGCCCGTGCCTGCGGGTGGGAATGCAAGCTGGGGCGGCCGCTCTGGGAAACAGCATGGAGGCTCCTCAGAAAGTCGAAACTAGAGCTGCCCTACGACCCAGAATCGCACGACTGGGTATTTACCAAACACAATGAAAACACTAAAACCTTAATTCCAAGAGATGCAGGTCCCCCGGTGCTTACAGCAGCATCATCTGTAAGAGCCGAGACATGGGTGCAGCCCGAGGGTCCACCCACAGCCGAATGGACGAGGGGCAGGTGCACACATGTGGGCAAACACACTCACACACACGGAGTGCAGTGTCACTCGGCCGCAGAAAGGATGGTCTCTTGCCATTCACAACACGGACCGACCCAGAGAGAATCACCGCCTTTAGAAAAGTAGCTGCAGCCGGGCTCAGGGCAAGGCGAGGGTCACTTTATGCTTCCTCAGAGAATCGCAGCTCACTTCGAAAAAAGTTAGAATAGAGCAAAAGTATTACTTAAAAGAATGCAGGGATGCTTTTAGGGTTTCTAACTGAATCCAAGCTTCCGTTACACCCACAATCATGGGAGGGGCCTCAAGAGGGATTCTTGTGTCTGCAGACTGGAAGCCGGGCCGCGGCGTGGGCAGGTGCCGCCCCTCGGTTGGCTTCTGCCTCCCGTGCGTCCCGTGCCTGCAGTCCGCATGTGTGGGGGACCTCTGGGGGCCGGAGGGGCCACAGGGTGGGTCTGTTGGTCTTGTCCACAGGCTGCAGGTGCTGCCCAGAACAGAGAAGGAGACGTGCCCTTCCTCCTCTCTCCTGGAGGCACGGGGAGGTCCAGCAGGAACGACAGGCTCTTAGCCATCAGGCCATGCTCCCGCCATGGGAGACCCCCAGGTGTCAGGGACTCGCGCCGCCCACCCTTCCAATCAGCAAAGCCACCCACAGATGCTAAGGCCACAGTATCACTCAGTGCAGAGCAGCCCAAGACTGAGCAGGAAAGCATCGCGGCCAAGTACCTTTAACAGACACACTTTTTCCGGCGTGCTCCGAGCTTTGCCAGCTGGCCAGGCTCCGATGGCTCAGCCCCACCTCTCAGAGGCCACAGAGGTGTGTGACACCTGCTCACAGCCCATGGACCCTGGATGCCTCCGGGACACATACGGAGGCCATGCCCAGTGGACAAGAGCCCAGGAGAGCCTCCCTGGAAAGTGACACCCTGGCGGCCACGTGCAGACAGTGAGCCAGTGAAGGACCAGTCTCGGGGAAAGGGGCCCCAGCAGGCTTGGGCACAGAGAGTCACATCTGTCTCCCATGCCCTCACAGAGCTGAGGGCCCTCGGGAGACCAGGGGTAGGGCGCGGGCAGGCTGGAGTGCATGGGCCGGGCGTAGGAAGAGATGTGAGGGAAATACGCCAGGACAGATGAACCGACGCACATTTGTAGACGGGAAAGGCATTCCCTGATGCCTTTGTCGGGGCGCCTGGGGGGCTCAGTCATTGGGCGTCTGCCTTCAGCTCAGTCACGATCTCTGGGTCCTGGGATTGAGCCCCACATCGGGCTCATTGCTCAACAGGGAGCCTGCTTCTCCCTCTGCCCCTCCCCTGCGTGTGCTCTGTCTCTCAAATAAATAAAAATAAAACCTTTAAAATGTCTACCACACTAGGTTTTTCTGTCAGGACACAGTTTTGGGCCCTGTAAGGAAACTTATGGAATCAAAGCGCCTAAATAATAACCCAGTTCTCAACAGGGGGCCCATGAGGCCAGATGTCCACCCCGCTCCACAGTGAGAGGCCGCGCGTCCCCCGGTGAGCGGGGGACGGTCCTAACTACCCCAGAGATGGCGGCAATAAGCGTCCGGCTGTCGACAAATGCTCGGAACACACAGGCCGCGTGTGAGCGAGTTACCAGCTCGGCTGGGAAAATGAAGGGTCCTCGCCGGCTGGGACGTAGTCCCTGAATATGAACACCGCACCTTTTAAGAAGAAAACGCGTCCACCTAAATGTGGCTCACGTGTGTGTCCGAGCGGCCTCGGTGCTGGCAACAGCTTCCTCCTCCCCCAAGAACAGCCTTACCCTGGAGTCATTCCAAGACCCACTTGTTTTTTCCCTAATAAGGATAATTATCTCCAAAAAATCAAAATGATGAAGTAGTCATGAGCGGTACGGAGCTGACCATGACACGGTTTGTGTGAAGAGTGGCTTGTGCGCCTGGAGGCTCTGGTTTTCATTTAAGGTGTGGCGAGGAGGGCCATCTCTGCCCCGACGGCCCAACAATCCCCCCCCACCCCCGTCTGGGCCAAGGGGGCGGCGTCCCAGCCCCGGGGACCCGTCCTCACCACCCGCCCGCGACTCCGCCGGCCACACTCTGACAGTGGACCAGCCGACGAGACGCCCCCCACGCTCCTCAGCGGGACGAGCAGCTGCTCCCACAGTCCAAGTAGTCACTCCCGTCTTTAAATCAGGGCCCGTCTGGTATTTAATGGGCCCGAGTCACTGTGAAAAGAGCTTCTGGCAAGCCCGCCCCGGCAAGGAGGAAACGGAGAACCGTCTCTCGTCACGGCGCCTTTTACTAAAGAACAGCTAGACTGGACGCGCGGAGACGGACCGGCTCTCGCAGCGAGCGTGCGAACCACACACTGCCCGAGCCAGAAGTGGTGGGGTCCGTCCTATTATCCGTCCTCCCAAAAAGGAAACCGCGCGGAGTCGTGGACCCGTGGAGCCAAAGGCGGACTGACGTCCGCGCGACACGACTGAGACCTGCCACAAACAGCAGGCGCCCACTGAGGGCTCTCTGGGCGCCGAGCCCCTGCCAGAGCCATCATTTCGTGGGAAGAAAAACCCCACCCAGCCCTGACGAGGCCTGACATCAGAGGCGAGAGATCACACCAGGCGATGGAGGGAGGGACCTCGCTCGGCCGAGAGCATCCTGGAGCAGTTCAGCCATCGCGGAGCTCCTTGCGAGGGTTACACACCACGAATACAAAAGCTGCTTAACTAGGAATCTGCACGGGCTCTGTGGGTGCTCCTCCGCCGTCTCTCTCCTCTCTCCCCATCCGGATGCAGGAAGGAGCCCGACCCGTGAGACGCAGAGCACGCCGACCACACAGAGAGAAACACGGTGTGAAAAGCCACAAAAATCAAAAATCACAGGTTCCTTGAGCCTGCGTCAAAAGGAAGTCGCTGGGGAGACCCGCGCGGGAGACGGCCCCGCACATGCATGTCCAGCGGCCGCAAAGGGTGACAGGTAGAGTCATCTCCAGGGTGGAAAGCCGCCCCCACCTCCCTCCCCGTCTTAGCTACTCCCATCCCCACCGTTGCTGGGCAGATGGAGGCGTGCCTGAGTGCTATTCTAGTTGTTTCTATCCTCGCTCACACACAGGAAAACACCTTTACTCAGAACGTAAAACCCTCTTTACCCACATGAGTGCAAATACAGCAAGAACCACGCTGTTCTAAGCGGAGTTTATCCAGACTTGCTACAAGACCGGGATCAAACATGTGCTCTGAGCTAAGACATTGGAGGACAGTTTGCAGGGTCTCTAAGGTCTTGGTTAAACACACCCAATCTGGAGATATTTAAAAGAAAAAAAGAGAACCAAAAGGACATAAATAGTGAGTAGCCTTGAAGCATCTTACACGCCATCAAATTCACGCCACGAGGTCAGAGCTGTGTCTGTAAACTCTTGCTCTCACGCCGTGAGCCAAACTGTGGGACCCTCGCCTGCCAGGCCGCCGTGTCCACGCTACCACTCTTAGCCCCGCGTGCATTCCCAGAGGGACACGGGGTCCACCAAAGGCTTTAGGTTTAACTACTGAAGTCGTCGTTTCTGGTGTATCATAAACACTTACGTGCTTTTTGATGAAAGACAGCACCCATAAAACATCTTCTGTGAACATATTTTTAATAATTGTAAGATGAAACTCACTGCCTCTGTTTAATCTGAAATACTTCTTTGTAATTAAATTCACTTGATGCAAAGACTGAGTTCATGTTTTATTCAAACCTCAACATCAGCTTCTTGAATGGCTGATTCAATTCAAAAGGAATGCCCGAAAATGACATTTGAGTTACTGCTTTCTTGTAGGGAAAAGAATTAAAGGATCCCTTTGGTTCAGAAGTTCTGATTTTAAGGGACAGTGTTTGCTTCTCTGGAAGGCCAGCTCTGGGACTGGCCCTTGAGCGTCACTGGCTGCAGGAGAAGCAGACGCACACGTGCCCTAGGGGTCCTCCCTGGGGTCCCGCACGTCTGCCCACCACAGGCCCCTGGAGAGGAGGGTCCCTGGCCAACAGTTCTGAGGCCCCCACACGTGCCTGGTGAGAACAGAGCTGCAGAAATTCTTTCTCATTCTAAACCTGCCAGAAAGGTCAGAGTGCCGGCGGACGGCTCTACTCACCTTGGAGCTGGCGGCCTTTGTACAAATCCCTCGCTCTGGCTGGGTGAGCCCGGGCCGTGTTGTCGCATTTTGGCTGTTCATACCTGGGGAGCGGGGGAGGACAGGAAAACGGCTTTGACCCTTGGAAGAGGATGGTGTCTTCCGTTTCTCAGGTGCTCGTGCACCGACACCTGCCCTCGGCCCACAGCACATCTGTGGCATCGACCTCTCCTGATTTATGACCGTTTATGACCTTTGTGACAATTTGCCATAATAAGCTTCTTTTTCAGTCCATGGGAAGGTGCACAGGGAATAAGGCTCTGCGTCTCCCTCCAGTTTCTGGAACAAATCTTGCACGTGGGCTGCCAAACGCCACGACCTCCTCACCACCACCTGGTCCCGGGTTTGACGTGGTTCAGAGGGGACGGGCGGGGGAGAGGAGGCCTCGGGTGTGGCCGGGAAGAAGGAAAAGTCACAAAAAGAACCACAGAAGTTTACATTTACGTATGACTGGAAGACCAGCTACATCTTAATCTGATGCTTGAAGCTACGAAAGGTTGTCCCGGTGTTGATGGGAAGGGAGGGGGAGGGAAAGTGAGGGAAGGGGAGAAGGAAAGAGCGAGGGAGAGAGAGCGCGAGCGGCACGTGGCACTACAGGGAGTGGACAGAAACTGCCGAGAAGTCCTGACAGGTGGGTCCTGACGTGGGAGCAGGAGGCGTGGGTGCTGCTGACCCTCCCCCCGAGAGGGGCATCGTGGTGATTCTGGAGCTGAGGGGATGCAGGCCCCTGTCCCTGATGGGCTTCCCACGCAGGCACAGGGTAGCAGCTGGCCCAGGTCTCCAGGGGGTGCTCGTGGGCCACTCTTCAGGGACGCCCGTGATCTGGGCACTGGGTACCACAGACGGGGGAGCCCGGGGTCATGGGGAGAACCCCTGGCCACTGGGGACACGGAGAGAGAACCCGCCGCCCCCCGTACCTCATGTAGTTAAAGGGTGGACAGTGTGCGCCAGCGGGCAGGGGTGCGGGTGGAGGTCCTGGACTGAAGGTTGCTGATTTCCAGGGAGTAGGCAGATTCCCGGCTTCTCACCATCCATTCCGCCCCATCTTCCTCTCTCACTCCCCAAGAAAGGGATGGGAGCTCACACTTACTTCATAGGGATCATTCCAGATTCTTATTTTTTCTTACTTTTTGTTTTCCCATCAGAAGAAATAAAAGAGAATGAAATGTCTCCCCAAGGGACACATTTGAAGTGTCCTTCCCTTGGTGGCCAGTCCTGCAGGGCCAACCGGGTGTGGCTGAAACCAAGGCACCCCTCCCGGCCCTCCCACCCCGAATGGCCTCTTTGATGATAGAGATTGTGACACCCACTCCCGCAAACGTAATACGTCTTTATGAAATGTGGTTTTTGAAATTAAAGAGTCCCTGACACGCTCGGCAAGTCGTTAAGCTATCACGTTTTCATCAAAAGCCATTAGCTCATGTTCTTGTGAAATGCAGTGGGGTTCCTTACAGGTGGCAGAGGGGCCACAGTCGTGAGAATGCGAGCAAGGGGAGGGGGACCCACGTCTCCACCAGGGGAACTCCTCTCTCTCCCGGCACCATAGCAGGGAGATGAGAGCCGAACATTTGCCAAGAGGAAATGAGCAGAAGCAGCAGCCCGTGGGGAGGTCACCCCTGTTTTCATAGACACATGCTAAATCGGGAGAACTCTCCCAATTTCAGGTTCTGGGTCAGTGTCTGGGGGGCTTGGAATAGGTTGGAATTGACACCTACATTAGAAGCGACGTCTTCACAGCTGATGGCCCGTCAAAGGGGAGCCGTGAAAAGACAAGCCTGTGTTCCAGCTCCTGATGGATGAGCTGGAAACTCAGGGCCCGGCCGTCCCTGGGGACATCCTGCTCCTAGGAATACCCGAGTGCACCTTGGGGACGCTCACAGGCTGCTCTGTTGGGTTGGACGCTGAATGAGTAATAGGAACTCTGTGCAGAGCCTCCATAATGCCAGAAGTCAGTACCGGCGTCCTTCACGTGGGCGGTAAGAGACCCCATTGTTTCCAAACTCCCGTTCTGATCTCAAACTCTGCAGTGACCCAGAAGCTAGCCACACTGGTCATTCTGGTTTTGTTCCGAATTTGACCTGAACGTGTCTTAAGAATCCTAGCATTTTGCTGATATAAAAACAAGTATATTTAAATGACAGTATTCTGCCTCTTTTAAAGAATATTGGGAAGTGCCTTGACCTGCAGAACTGGCAATCTCCAGAAATAGAATTAATGCCTTTGAAGTCAAAAAAAATGAAAATTCAGGGTTGACATCCATCACATTCTTTTCAATAGTGTTGAACTTATTTGTATGAAAAAAACAATAAATGAACACCTCTTCCTTCCCCATCTGCTTGCCCATCAGAGAGCAGGCTTTCTGCCAGGGAGAAATGTGGTTTCATGCTCACGCTGCCAGTGCACTCGGCCACTGAGAGAGATGGTCCCTGAAGTTGGGACGGGGGCGACGTTAGAAGGGCCTGGAGCCGACGGCGATGGGTGAACCCGTCCTCAGCTGTGACGATGTGAAAGGGGAGCCTCTCCGCTCTGGGAGCTAATGCGCTCGCGGGCAGTCAGCCCGCCACACTCCCTCCGACAGCCCGTGCCAGCTCCCCCCACCACGCAGCAGTGGCCAGGTTGGAACCTGCCCCTCTCCTCCCAGATCCTATCCTGCCACACACGGTGTGGGCTCAGGCAGGTGCCTGCGCTCCAGCCCACAGGCAATCTGTACATGTAGCCCAAATGTCAGTTCTGACACCGAAAAGCAGGAGGACCGGGAAGCGCTTCTGCACCCGGACCAACTCACGCTTCCACCCAGATGATCATCCCTAGATGATCAGATCAGAAACTGTCAGAAGGAGGCAGCTGTCTGCCCTGGCAGGCAAACCACGTGGGCTTGTCGTGCTCAGCACAGCCTACAACAGAATCCATACGTTTTAACGTTCTTGCTTGGGGACGCAAGGAAAAGGAAGCTGGCTTACCACAATGCTTCTTATGTCTATGGCTTCTTTCTGTCCTGGATTTTTTAATTATTCTTCCCTATCAGCCAATACAAATGGAAAGGATAACTGAGGGAGAAAACCTGAATCGTCTACCCAAATGTAAGACAAATCCATGAAGCATCTCCCTGGAAGGGATTATTTCAGAAAATCATAAGAAAGGAGCTCGAACATGACTGGGCATTTACACAGGAACGTGGAGGACTTCCCCGACGATGCTGGTCACAGAGGGAACCGCGGTGCTGGCTGGGCTGCTGACGCTGGCCAGCAGTTTACCAGGTGTCCCTTAATGTTGGTAATTTGGACTGATTTCCCAACATCCACACCCCCCTAGAGATCAGTTTAAACTAATTTTTCCTGCTAGTGATAGGCTTAGCCATGGTCGCTTGATCCAATTCTGGCCAACAATCCATGCACTAAATTCACTAGGGGACTCGGAGGGAGGGTGGGTTGGCTTCCTAAGAAAGACAGAGATGGGCGGTGGATCTCCTGAATACTGTGGTGTCTGGATGAGATGCTTGGATCCTGGTGGCCACCTGGCACCATGAGAAGAGTCCAAGGGCAGAGACAACTGTGTCCTCACTGACATCACCGAATCACAGCGTCAACCGAAATGGAGCTTTCTCCACCTCTGTAATTCTTACCTGAGGTGAAGTAGCCCCTTGTTTATGCCTACTTGTCAGAGTTACCACTGTTAGACACGAAAAATGTCCTAATTGATACACCTTGGCTTTGGGCCCAAACAACTGGGTTCTGGCTCCGGGACCTCCACTGTGCAGGGCAGCGCTCACTCCCTCCGTGGGGACTGCGCCCCCGCATACACCCGTCAGATCAACCCCCAGCATCTTCAGGACTTGACTCCAACATCTGCTTTCCAGGGCGTATCTCTCGCCATTCAGGTCAAGTTGAAGCCCCCCCCCCCACCCCTGCACACCCTCTCCTCTTCCTGGTTTGTTGTCCTCCAGAGCAGGGGGCATTCGCCGGTACATTTCCTGACACTCAGTGCAACTACTTCTCAGCTTTGCCTAAAGTCCGTCTCCTCCCATTTGAACAGAAGCCCTGTGGAAGCATGAGTTTTGTGCATGTTGTTTCTGGTACATTCCTCACCCCTAGAACAGCATGCCCGACAGTGAGGGCACTGGCGTGGTGGCCTGCCCCAGATCTGGTGCCAAATGATGGGGAACCTCCTCCGTGAAGAGTAGGCGTGGTCTGGGGGTGACAGGTTGAGCATTCCAGTCGGGGGAGACCCAGAAAGCCTATGGGGAAGGCTTTCCTTGCTGTCAGAAGGAAGCCCCAACTATGTTGGATGATGCTTCTAGAAACTCTGTCAGGGATAAGTCACAAAGCAATCCAGTAAGTGAAGATTCCAGAGCAGAGAGAACAACAGCAACAAACGCTTATTAACACCCTTGAACTGCTGAGACAGCCCGAACCTCCCTTCACCTTTGAGGGGTATGAGCTGCTAAGATTTGATGCTGTTGGGATGTGAGGTCTCCCTCATGCTGCAGCAGAAGTGCTGCCACTTGCTCCTTCCCTGATACTCCCCAAGCAGGAGAGAAAGTCCCTGAGAGAGGAGACCTGCTCTGTGGGTCCGCGGTCTTTCCCCAGTCCTTGGGATAGTGATCGGCTATCGCGGACCATCAGCATTTGAGATGGAAGGAAGGAAGGAAGGAAGGAAGGGAGGGAGGGAGGAAGGGTTGGTGGATGGGTGGATGGATGGACAGACAGACAGAGAGGTGAAAGGATGGATTGTTTCCTCCTTGAAATAACTCATGGTCATACTTGAAAAATTGGGGGAAATAATTTAGGAAGTGTCAAAATGCCTGTGTCTAGGTCCTAGAAAAGAAACCAGTGGCTGAATTTGATAACTTTTGAGAAGAGTATTTTTGTACACTTATAATTGTTTTTATATAAATCTATGGACATTCGAGACCACTTCATATAACAAAGAATGGCAGACACATCTTCACTCGTGTTTTTACAAATTCCGTGAGTCCTTTCTGTGGTTCGGGTCACGCAACCATTTGCCCAAACTCACGGAGCAGGAGTGAGCACAGTTTCTGTATCTCAGATCCCAGCACAGCGATTGCTGCTCTGGCCTTTAGCGCACTGTCTTTGTTTTCCTGCTATAGAAAGCCCTTCTGGAGACCAGTTCTTTCAGTCTGGGAAATGCTTGGCTCCCTTTGCCAAAGCCAGAAGCCCACGGAAGCTTCCAGGGCTACCTGAGCACCCGCCACGCCAGATCCCAGAGCCGGTTTCCACAGTCCCAGCCTGCGTCCGTATCGACAGAAGCAAACCTTGCGTAAAGAGCTCAGCCTCCATAGCCACCTGCTGTCGCTCACACAGGCAGCTCCTGGCAGCCGACCCGGAGATGGTTTCCTCCGGCTTCTGACGGCCAGAGCCATCAGCTTCTGCAGGCAGCCCGGACAGGGAAGCGAGCACATGGCAGGAACAGTCAGGCAACCAAGCAAGGTCTGGCTGCCGGGCATCCACATTGGAGGCACCCATGGGGGCTTGCCCCCCGGCTCCTCCCTCCCTTGGCCCATGGGCGCAGCTTTACCTGGTGGACGTTCCGGGGATGGGGCGTCCGGTGTCCACCAGGACACACCAGCAGTAGCCAGTTGAGGGGTGGCACTGCACCGGCTTGTAGAGGCCACCGTGGGCGCACTCGGGGATCACCACGTTGTCGCTCTCGGGCCGCCTGGCCTCCTCCAGGGCTGACTGCTGCTCCTGGTCACATGAGGACACTGGGGGAGGAAAGACAGGGGTGTGAGCATATAGCACGTAGGCAGCTCCGCGCGGCGTCCCTGAGGGTACGCCCAGAGAGCTGCAGGGACCTGGGAAGGAAGGAGCTGGGGCTGGCCCATCAGAGGGGCAGACAGATCAGGAGAGAGTTGGGGCACGGTGGGCCCACGTGCCCCTGGGTCCCCTCCTGTTAGAGGCGGGCGGTTCTGGACACACGACAGGACTACAGGAAAAGCTGGACATCAGCCTGTGCCAGGTTTCAGTCTGGGATGTAAGCACCAAGGCCATTTGTAAGGATTTTCTAACATTTTTTACAATCTGTGCTGGACCTAGAATCATGTTCTACGTCTTTCAATATTGTCACCACTTTTATTTGCTGAAGCAAAGGGAGTGAACGTCTATGTGCCTGGCTTATTTGCGAGCACAGTGGAACCCCATCTCAGCCCACGGTGAGCCCAGGGCCACTCGGCAGAATGCGTGTACGCAGAACAATGAGTCCTAGAAATGACAGTGGGAACACCTGCTGTTAACAATGAGAGAGACACAGTGCAACAGTAACAGTTACACTGTGCAACAGTGTAACACTGACTCTCAGGTAACAAACCAGTTGCTGTTTAGAGTTTTCCTCTGCTTGAACTGCCCTCGGTCATTTCATGGGTTTTCTCATTTAGCCACTGGGTAGATGAGAAAACAGAGGGATGCACAAGTCACACAGGGAATGCCACGCAGCTGGAAAGGGGCCACCCCAGAGCGTGGATCCAGACCATCAGACTCAGAAGCCCGTGGTCTGATCGCGCGACCAGCCTGCGCCCCACGGCCTCCGGGCACATGGGGATCTCATGCCATCTGTGTGGCACTGATTTAAATAAGCCAACTGCAAAACTCTATGGGGTTCCTCAAAAGTTAAATACAGAACTACCCAGCCCAGCAATTGCCCTTCTCAGTGTTTACCCAAAGAATAAGAAAACACTAATTCAAAGACACCTGCCCCCCGATGTTTATAGCAGTGTTATCGACAATAGCTGAACTATGGAGAGACCCCAATGTCCATTGACTGATGAATGGATAAAGAAGGTATGGTGTATACACAACGGAATATTATTCGGCCATAAAGAAGAATGAATCCTTTTGCTGTATTTGTAATAATGTGGATGGACCTAGAAAGTATGATGTTAAATGAAAGAAGTCAGTCAAAGAAAGACAAACACCGTATCAGCTCGCTCATATATGGAATTTAAGAAACAAAACAAATGAGCATCGTGGGAAAAGGGAGAGAGAGAGAAACTAAGATGCTGACTCGTAACCCCAGAGAGCACAGTGATGGTCCCAGAGAGGAGGGGGGCGGGGGCATGGAGGAAACAGGTGATGGGGATGAGGGAGGGCCCTTGTGATGAGCACCGGTGATGCATGGAAGTGAGAATCCCTGTATGGTACACCTGAGTCTAATATTACATTGTACGCTAGTTAACTGGAATTTAAATTAAAATTTGGAGGAAAAAAAGAAAGCTCTAAAAGTCAGCCCATCCCTTGGCGCATCCACACTCCAGTGTCCCAACAAAGTGAGTCCCGTCCACTCCGCCGTCCTCAGACGGTAATGACTTTGAGTCACATAAAGTAGAACATGGAGAATAACTTTATCCTTCACTATCGAGTCACACGTGGTTTAAAATATAATTTAGAAATATTCAGCATGTTTCAAATATTCGTCTTCTGGATCCTTCCAGCCTAAATACAGGACAGTAAAAATGAGCAAATTACATCCCCTTTCTCACACATGTTAAAGAAAATGTGGGCACGTGTCTGAGATTCGTCTGTGGAATGGGCTTCTCTAGGTGCGGCCTCTGGACCCCTGATCAGGAAGAAGTTGGAACAAGCATCCGGCCGCACGACCCCGCGTCCAGGGACCTTGAGGTCAAGGCGAATCACAGAGCCGCCGTGCCTCGGAGGCAGGACAGGTGGGGCCTCCCAGCCGCAGAGGAGCTGCTGAGACCTGAGCCCTGTGCTCCCGGCCAAGCACGCGCCTAACGGCAGAGAGGCCCTCCACCCCGGGGCCCACACACCCAGGAGCACACCTGTCCTCACAAGAAGCTGCTGTGGCATCTAGAAAGGACATTCTTCTGCTTTCAGGTTTCTTCTTGCAAAGGAAAATAAAATAAAACAACGCACTGAGTGAATATTTTTTGATTAGAAATCTCTATAGCACTTTTCTACCTCTGAAGTGTTCTCTGTGTACTATGCCTGGGTCCCCTTAGGAGCCACTTAGCTAACATTCTGTGACTGTAGCTATGACATCAGACAGCTGGAGACCACCGGGATGCTGAGAAAGAGCACGTTCCCACGTGGGGGCCGAGAGGCGGGAGGCGCACTGCACGGCTGTGGGGGACGGGCCCCCGCCGCGGGCCCAGCACACAGGCGGGAGTCACGCACGGATCGTCTCTACAGACCATGTTCCAGAAGACTTAGCTGTGATTGCCACTCCGCCCCCGGGGTCAGAGAGCACCTGGCATATATCAGGCCCTCAGGAGATTTCTTTTTAGATAATGAACCGTGGTTATGACGATAATAGTTGGAAAACTACTAGGATTTTAGCCTCTGTGGCACCTGCATGTACCATAGGATGACGATCATACATGGAATTTTGTGATTCGTCCTTACTGACATAGCCAAACACTACTAGATTTTTTAAGCCATGTACATTTCCGTATATGTACTAGAACAACCTAGAAATACTGCCTTTCAGATCCTTCTCCGTGCTCCTACCCAAAAACTATTCTGCAGCTCCCTAGACTGAACACGGCCTCCCAGAACCACAGAGGAGCCAGACTGAAGCGTGACTAATCACCGTATTGGTCCAGAACCACGTTTTGTACGATAATCACGGAACCCACGAATCACTCAAATGTCACAGCTAGTGCCGAAATCATTTTCATGGATAAGAGAGAGAAGGAAGAAATCGGCCCTTGGGTTCACAGAGCGGCTCCCGCTGCTAGCAGTGGGCACTCTGGTCGCCGTGCAGAGAGCCTGGTATGGAGACCCGTCCCAGCGGCCGGTCTCCGGGCTGGTACTGAACAGCTGGTGTGCCCCGAGGCTGGCCTGCAGGGTCCTGCGCTGGGTCCCGCCGTGCCCACTGGGGTGCTGTCTGCCTGGCACGTGAACTTTGAGGACGTTGGTCTATGGTCTTGGGCCGTGCGGACCACAGACCCGCTCCGGGCCCCCGGGGAGCCGCTGTCTGAGCGGCCCTCCACTCTGCAAGGCTTCCAAGTATTTCCAATAAATTTGTTGTATCCTTAGTTACCCAGAATCAGATATTTTTTTTGTCTGTAAGTTAAGAATTTAAACAACAAAGTTCTGATCCTTGAACAGTCTGACCTCGGGTTGGCATTTGGTTTTGATTTCTAAAGTAACAGTAATGATCGGTGCGTCTGACACCCCCTGGTTGAAGACCACCTCTGCGTCAGGTGCCGTTCCAGAGCCCACGCAGGCCACTTCTAAGGACACAAGAAGAATTCATGGCCACCCTGTGTCTGATACCACCACCACCTGATTCTTTTAAAAATTTCAATCTGTTCCTTTAGAGTCCTGTCCTATGCTGTATACTCTAGATTTTGCTCATCAAATACACGGATACAGAAATAAAATCCAGCATGCATTACATGGTCATCGGAAAGCTGCTTTCACTCCAAGTGGGAAATTGTCAAGAAGAAAGCGACAGTGATTTGATTTCTTACTGTGTTGCCCAGGACATCCCCGGAGATCACGGGAAATCACCAAGGAAAACAGAGTTGAGCCACATCTCAGCGGCAACTAGGTGTTCCTTTCTAGAAACCCACAGTGTAGTTAGCCCAAGATAGATGGACTTTCTTCCAGGGGAGAATTTTCTAGCACACCCCCTCCCCCCGAGAAAACACACTGCTCACTGTAACAACCCCTTGGATCCCTTTTGGAAATTTTATTAGTGAACAGAATTTAGGGTGTGGTTCTCTGGGCACCAAATACTTTTCATGCTCCATCCAACGACACATTGAATCTATAGGAATGGTTCTGGGAAATTCCTGAAATGTCCCTTTTGAGCATTTCATTTAATATTTGCAGATCCATTAAAAGCAAAATAAGATTGACTAAGTCAACAATCTCTTATAATTTGCCAAAAATGTTGTAAAATACAGAAGACATCAGAGGTGAGTCAGAAGAAATTCCATGCTGGTTTGCATAAACATCTTGGTTGGTTAGAAATGTTAACACGAGCAATTTTATTTGGTAAATCTGGTTCCACGAGGGGAATTCAAACTTAGGGAAATGCAGTTATGTTTTCTGTCCATGAGGGCATCGCAGAGGAAGATCTTCTTTAGACAAACTCCTGACAACCTCTGGGAACAGGGGATGAACAGAAGCATGATTTCTGCATTGGAGAGTGGCCCTTCCCACCAAGACGGCCTCAGCGCCAGGGAACCTGACCACGGGTTCCACAACAGTTCATGCTGGGGACACAAGAAGGTGGCACAATCACCCCTTGTTCCATGAGGGTCATCAAGCACTTACAAATGGAGGCAAATGGGGAGCAAAGTGACATAAGTCATATTTCATCACAATGACGGAAGCTTTTGATCATGGAGACAACCCGGAGCATGGCTTCGAAAGGGACCCAAAGAGACAGGTCTTGAGGAAGGGCCAGAAACATGTTGATAAGTCCCCACAAAGCATTAGAAAAGGACGCAGGGAAGAAGGACCTTTTCTGGAGAGAAAGAACAATGAGGATGGAAACAAGGAAGCTTGGAAGGAGAGACCGGCCCTAGGAATACGGTGACCAGGCAAATGCCCTAAAACCCGGCAGGGCAGAGCCAATGTCTGTTGCCGGCTGGACCCATCTGGTTACAGAGGCCACCAAAGCTGGGGCTTAGATCAATGATATTACTAGAAGTTATATCGACTCCATTCCAAATAATGGCCATCAATGGAGAAAAATAAGGTTTGGGATGCTGGAAGATAATTCAGCAAGAAAATA